TCTCGTCTGTTGCTCCTCGCAGTCTTGAGTGGCCGTCTCGATTTCTACCTAGGATGTCATGGACAGTCTCAATCAAACGACCAGCCAGCACCAGATAACGGTCGTCACCAACGATGTCATTGTCACTTCGCTTATTATACTGGCTGTGCATTGTGAGAAAGTTGATAACCCCGAAGGCATCTGTCCATAGGTATCGCCCCCGATGACCGCCTGATCTTGGTGGTGGAGTCCAGGATTTTGGATCTTCGATGCTGCTAAAACTTCCGTAAAGAGATTCCATGGCTTGTCCAAAGCGGTCTATGCGCGGTGACGGACTGCTGATTGGCAGAGCCATTCTCGAGGTATGTGCCTTCGAAACGGGATGGGCATATGCGTAGTTGCCAGGATGAATGATTGCTTGTCTAGCAGTGTGCTGACTGGAAAAGAGCAACTTGAACCACTGCATTTGTTATCGATTCTCATCCTCAGATGTCATTTGTTCCACTGTCGCCGGAATTGGAGCAATTTGGTTCGCCATCGACGATGAAGTCATGAAGTCATGATGATTGTTTAGCAGCCAGGATGTGAATAATTCGCTGGGAAAAATCCCGCAAAACAAAGGGCATATGTTATATTGATGAAAGAAGATAGACATACCGTGGGTTATGTCCGGCATTTCAGTACTCAACATATTCATTTATTCCGCCCAAAGATATCCCCAACCACAGCCTAACCGTTCATGCGCTTGGCATCTATACTCCGAACTACGAAAAGGATGCCTCATTTACAAGAGCTTTTCAATTCAGCAGTGCAGCCCCTGCCTGCAATCGAGGATAAGAGCTTCGCATCACACTTCGATACCTTTGCGGGTAGCCAAGTGATTCTGCTAGGCGATGGCAGCCATGGAACATCTGAGTTCTATTCTGCACGTGCAGAAATCACAAAGCGACTCATTGAACGACATGGCTACACCATGGTCGCGGTCGAAGCAGACTGGCCAGATGCAGAGGCCATCGACCGATATGTGCGCTTACGTCCAGGCCCCAAAGCGCAAATTGGAGGGAGCGCGAAAGGATACGAACCATTCACTCGCTTTCCTACCTGGATGTGGAAGAATTATGAGATGCAAGGGCTAGTTGAATGGATGCGTGATCGAAACAAGGATCTCCCACCAGAACAAAGAGCCGGGTTCTACGGGTTGGACCTGTACAGCATGGGTGCCTCGATCGCCGCTGTGATCAACTATTTAGACCAGGTGGACCCACAGGCAAGCAAGCTAGCACGCCAGCGGTATGGGTGCTTGGAGCCTTGGGTGGATGATCCCACTTCATATGGTCTGGCATCCCTTCGGGGATTGGAAGACTGCGAAGGTCCAGTGATGAAAATACTCACAGACCTTTTGGCCCGACGGCTTGAATACATCGGCTTGTGGGATGGCGATGAAAACCACAGCGCCGAACAGAATGCTCACCTGGTTCGTGATGCGGAGCAGTATTACAGGGCGATGTACTACAGCTCAGCAAGTTCATGGAACCTGCGCGACATGCACATGTTCGAAACCTTAGTCCGCCTGTTAAAGTACAATGAGGGAGAGAAAGCTATTGTGTGGGCCCATAATTCGCATGTCGGAGATGCGCGCTATACAAGCATGGGATTTCGCCGCAAGGAGCTCAATATCGGGCAACTATGCCGTGAGCGACTAGGACGCGAGAATGTGAGCATTCTTGGATGCGGAACCCACACTGGCACCGTTGCCGCGGCCCATGAGTGGGACGATGACATGGAGGTCATGTCCGTCCGTCCCTCCCGAGAGGATAGTTGGGAGATTGTGGCCCATGATACTGGTGTGCCACGATTCGTGCTCGACCTGCGTCAGGATCGCATAGACCCATCTCTGCGCTCAGCTATCGCTGCTGAGCAACGCCTGCAGCGCTTCATTGGTGTCATCTACCGCCCTGATACCGAGCGTGCCTCCCACTACTCACAAACTTTCCTCCACAAGCAGTTTGATGCTTATATCTGGTTTGATAGGACCAAGGCTGTTCAACCCTTAGAAGTCATCCAGCCCCAGACGCCGCTCGGAAAGAGCGAAACCTATCCATTTGGACTCTAGTACTAGTATATTTCTACCTCAAAAGCAACGAGTTATTATCAGTATCTCTCATTATTCTCTCATTGTAGACGTATTGGGTTCTTCCTGCATATAAGCTTCGCACTTCCGGTGCCGTTTCCTGCATATGCAGCACAAGTGCATGAATCACATCGCTTAGCACATTGCAAAGACCAGGTTCGGAGATTTCCCGAAAAGGATGAGAACTGCAAACCTTGGAAGTACATACAAACTTTGTATAGCCGAAAACGGACAACCGGGCCGGATCAAATCAATCAGATCAATCAGATAAGGCGGATCAACCATAACGAGTGGGTCGGTGGATGTACATCCTGTGCTTGGTCCCTTTAAAAAATCCCTGACTGGCTCTCTCATTGGCCTCAAGGATCGCCTGACCTACCGACCTCGGGAATACATGCTCCATACAAGAAACGAAATTTCGATCATCGGTGGCCAGTACATTTTCTGACTAGCATGTGTTTAGCTCGTCTCCCTGGCCAATCTACTCCGTGCTCTAGGTATTTTCCCGGTATGGTGAAATTTTCGTTTACACCTACTGTGGCTGCAGTATAAAACCGGTGTCGAGGAAACTAGCCCCCGAAGCCGTACGTTTTCTTTAGTTTCCAGACTTTGCTGTCATAAGTTCGGGCTCTTCCCATGACTCAGGATCCCATTTTTCAAATTTCAACCGAGGATTTCAAGTTTCAACCGAGATTTTAGGTCTGACTGTCGATACCATGGGTGTGAGAAAGCGCTTCGTCAACCCATTTGCACGCACGGCATCCTCTGAGGAGGTACAAACGACTGATGCCCCTGATCTAAAGGCTCACGCCGACTCCAAATTTGCCTTGGAAAACTTGGATCAGACCGATCGGGCCTCGTCGGATGTCGAAGTTGTTGATCAAAAAGCGCAGGCTGGTACTCAGAAAGCCCAGGCAAGCACCCAAGCCTGGACAAAGAACACATTGATTGCAGCCTATGCTCTGTAAGTTCCGTCTGTTGCCGACCCCCAAGGAACTTCTTTAGCTAACAACTTAAAGCGTCTGGGTCGTCAACTTTTTAGAATACTTCAGTTCTGGACTGCTCAGTTCCCTATCCCCATATATCTATAGCGGTTTCGAGCTACACTCCTTAACGGGTCTCACTTCTGTCATCGCTTCGTTGATCTCCGCTCTGGTCAAGTTCCCCTACGCGAAACTTATGGATGTTTGGGGTCGACCTCAGGCCTTTGCAGTCGGTGTTGGATCTCTGACTCTCGGACTAGTCATGATGGCAGCCTGCAAGAATGTACAAACATATTGTGCTGCTCAGGTGTTCTACCAGACTGGGTTCAGCATGATCGATTTCTCTATGACCATCTTCATTGCCGATACTACGGCTTTGAAGAACCGGGCTTTCTGGATTGCTTATGCCGCTTCTCCATATCTCATCACGCCTTGGGTCTATGGTTACGCTGCGAACCAGATCGTCGCCCCGGACGGCATCGGGTATCGATGGGGCTTTGGTATCTTTGCCATCATCATGCCCGTTATCAGTGCTCCGCTCTGGGGTCTGTGGTATTATACCCAGAAAAAGGCCGAAAAGATGAACTTGACGGAGAAGAAGAACAGTGGACGAACTCTCTGGCAGTCTATCGTCTACTACTGCATTGAGTTTGATGTTATTGGTCTGCTTATCATCGCCACAGGCTTTTCTCTCTTCCTGTTGTCATTCAACCTATACTCTTATCAACGTGGGGAATGGCATTCCCCGATGATCATCTGTTTCGTGGTCATTGGCTTTTGTTTGATTATCGCGTTCACGTTCTGGGAGAGATACCTTGCGCCAGTGAAGTTCATGCCTTGGGAGTTAATCCAAAACCGGACTGTCTTCTTCACCTTCTCCATGGTGGTATCTCTGTATTTGGCTTGGTATATCTGGGATAGCTACTTCTATTCCCTCTTGCAGGTGATGTTCAACCAAACCGTCACGCAAGCAACCTACATCTCCAACATTTACACCATGGGCTCGTGCTTCTGGTGCCTTGTCTTCGGAGCCATCCTTCGCTACCAGGGCCGCCTGAAGTGGTGGGCCATCTGCTTCGGTGTTCCTCTTACCATTCTTGGGGTTGGCCTCATGATCAAATTCCGCCAACCCGATTCGAACATTGGATACATCGTGATGTGCCAGATCTTCGTTGCATTTGGTGGTGGTACCCTCGTCATCTGCGAGCAGATGACTGTCATGTCTGTTTCTTCCCAGAGAAACATTCCGGCTATTTTGGCTATCGAGGGTGTCGTTGCGAGTATCGGTAGCGCCCTCGGAGGTACTGTCGCTGTCGCTATGTGGACTGGTATTTTCCCTGTCAAGTTAAAGGAGCTCCTCCCGGCTTCTGCACAGGCGAACTTGACTACCATTTACGGCTCCTTGGTTGTCCAGCAGTCCTACGCCAAAGGCACAGCTACTCGCGATGCTATTGACCATGCGTATGGTGAGACCCAGCGACTCATGCTCATTACCGCTACTTGTCTTTATCTTATAACGTGGACTTCATGCTTCTTCTGGAAGGATCTCAATGTCAAGAAGATGAAACAGCAGGTGCATGGTGTTCACTTGTGAGTGGTGGGTGCGCCATGTTAGCCGTGTAACTACGGCGCGGTATAGCAGCACATTGGACAACAGGAATTTATTGGCTAAGCATATTTATGTCGTGGACTCTCCTCTCTTCGTATATCTATTAGAGATAAAATATCAAGAATCTTGTATTTTCCTCAGTACTATTGACCCGGCAAAGATTTATCTATTTATAAGGCTCAATTGTTGCGAATAGAGTCAGGAGATGCAAAACATTTATGTGTTCTATAGTGGTTCTCGAAATTGGCTTGACGCACACTGTAACTCTTTTTCTGCCAAGGCCTTAAATTTGTAGGGACTAATTTACACTGGTGACAGCATTGATACTATTGACATTGTGGTCAAACCTGTTGTCATCTGGATATTTCCAGAAAAGTTCTAGATCATCTTCATCCGCCTCTTCATCCACAATCCTGCCATTTGGAATGCAAGGATCAACGCCTTCAAAAATCTTCAGTCCTGGCAGTTTGGCATCTTTCTCACGCGCCAGCTGCTGTATTTGGGCATTGACATCTAGATCAGATTCGTAATCCAGATAGGGGGTACTCCTATCCACGGGCTCTCCGAGCACGTAAATCCGGAGAGACTCATGAGTAGATGGGATATGATCAACAAGATTGAAAGACTTTGAATCAAGCTGCTTCTTGCCATCTCCTGCACCTCGAGCTAGATAGCATAGCGTATGGACTCCAATACTGAGATGCTTGAGCTGTGAAAAGTCTTTCAGGGAGACGCGTACAGGTGCGATTTCTACGGCGGCTAGCTCCTGCGGCTCGTCTGCCCATTGCTCCTCATAATCTTTTCGGTCCTCTTCGGTCATCCTATCTTCTTGACAGGGTTGATATTCCTCATCATACAATTCTTGCCGAGATGTCTGGCTCTCCATATCCAGATTCAATTCCTCTAAAGTCTGGCGGTGTATCCAAAGGGACTTGAATATCGGAGTCACGTATAACGAGGGGTTGCCACCCTCAGGGTAAACGACCACCGATAGTGGAAGTAAAACTTTTCAAGGCCTTGGCGGATTCGATAATACGGCAAAGATCCCAGCTTTCCATTGTAGAATGTGTAAAGCTGACCTTGCTATAGTTGGCAGAACGGGGAGGAGGTGGTATTCCGGCTTCATTGCCCCACGTTACCAGCTTAAAAGCGACCGATTCGATAGCCGGTAGTTTACGGACCATATTAAGCCGATGATAATATGGGTCTTCAACGTACTCATTGAATTCGTTAAGCTTATCGTCTGGGTGGAAGCTAATATTTCGTAGATTTTGGCAGCAAGGTACCGATTCTGCAGACGTAGAGGCCCGATATAGTAATGATTGGAGAAGATTCACCCTTTCATGATTCCTAGCAGATGAAAATCGAATGTATTCCAGTAATGGATACATTGAAATGAATTCAAGATTCGGGGCAGCTGCAACTAAGAGCGTAATAAGGGCATCTTTAAACTGAAGTGCTTCCGTGCTTGAATCAGATCTATATTACTAGTAAGCAACAAAAGCGTAGCACTCCGTGAGATATTCTTAGATAGAGATAAAAGCTTATTGGAATTCAGCAGGGTTTCGTGAAAGCATAGATAAAATTGACTCGCGCTCCTGTGCATCTTGGAAGCCGGCGCCTAGGATTGCTTGCTTGAGCCTGTCGATGTCCTCAGGGGAAAGTATAGAATCTTGGATGGAATTTTCGGAGTCAGGATCAAACTCAATCATTCCAGTTCCGTACAGGTCCACACGCCGAAGATAATCTCCAAGGGAGGGAGTTCGTAAGATGGCAAGTAATGTGTCTAGTCCAGCTTTGAGTACAGCTTCATGGATCTGCGGGTACTTCTCTCGGCCGAACTTCAATTGATGATATTTCTGACGATTTTTCAGATCACATAGAGCATGTATTCCACGGCTTTGTTGCGGCAAGGCCATGACATTGTATACCGAAAGTTTGTTGATCACGTTGAGCAGCAATTCATCGGGAAGATTCTGCAGGGACGGCATTTTTGCCCGTGTAGCGACATTGCGTCGAATCAAAGCCTTGGGAAAGCACAGAGTTCGGAACATGTGGGCGTCAGTTGAAGGAAAGGAGATTCACTACGATCTCGGTCGATCAATGGGCCCAGGCACCAACCAGGCACAACCCGAAGCACAGGTGGCATTAAACGGGTCTTCCGTGGGCTTTGGTACACGTGACGCCAAGACCGACCACGTTGAGCGAGCGGCTTAAAACAGCGTCAAAAGTGGCCGTTTCTGGCATCCCATTCACCGTGTCATCCTTAATGTTACCTTAGTGTTGTAGGACTATGTATTCGATGGTCATAAACCATAGTTCCCACAAAAGGTGTTATTCAATATATAACATGCGATATTTGAAGTATTACGATAGACAAATCTCTGATAGAACTATAGATGTAATAATTTTCTGCTAGGTAAAAACCTAACCAAGGCGACTGCGTATCAATGATTATGGCGCAGTGGCTGGCCTTCTTGAGCTAGTCGCTGATATTTGACTGCCTTTCGCAGAACCATACCATTGCTCAGCTGATCGGTTTCCTGGCGGAAGATCTCCTGCCACGGAGTACCACTAGGGACAATGGGGTATCCCTTGGTACCCAATGCTTTCCTTCGTTGTTCGATCTCATCATCGGTAATGAGCATATCAACCCGCCGTTTGCGCAAGTCAATTCGAAGCCTATCCCCATCTTTCAAAATAGCAAGATTGCCTCCAGCTGCGGCCTCGGGACTAGCATTCAAAATAGAAGGTGACCCAGATGTTCCCGATTGTCTACCATCCCCGATGCAGAAAAGTCCATCGATACCCTCTTTCAAGAGTCGGGCTGGCGGATGCATATTGACGACCTCCGCTGCTCCAGGATATCCGATTGGGCCAACACCGCGCATAACGAGGATGGTCTTCTCGTCGATGTATGGCGTATTCTCCAGGCGATGTTCGTAATCTTCGGGTCCATCAAACACCACAACAGATCCTTCAAATGCCTCCGGGTCATCGGGGTTGGAGAGGTATCGCTTCCGGAATGCGGGTGAAATGACACATGTCTTCATGATTGCAGAGTCGAAGAGGTTACCCTTCAAGTGAGCGAATCCGGCATCTTTCATCAATGGATCGTCATATGGTTTAATGACACGCCGATCCCATGTATGCTTCCCACGGACATTCTCGGCAATGGTTTTGCCATTGCAAGTGAGCACATCGCCGTTCAGCTTTCCCTGGTCTAATAGCTCAGCCATGATAGCCGGCAGGCCTCCAGCGCGGTAATATTCTTCACCGAGATATTCACCCGAAGGCTGCATATTCAACAGCAGCGGGATGGTAGATCCGATGGTATCCCAATCATCCATGGACACCTCTACGCCTGTGTGCTGCGCGATAGCGTTGATGTGAATAGGAGCATTCGTGCTGCCGCCGATTGCGGCGTTTGCTACAATGGCATTCTCGAAGGCTTCGCGTGTCATGATATCACATGGCTTCCGGTCTGCCTCTACCATTTCCACGATCCGTTTGCCTGTTTCGTAGGCACATTGAGCTCTGTGACGGTAGGCAGCGGGGATGGCGGCTGACCCGGGGAGGGCCATTCCCAAGGACTCTGCGAGGGCATTCATCGTCGAGGCAGTTCCCATTGTGTTGCAGTGGCCAACTGATGGAGTTCTGAGTTTGAGTTAGATTCCGGTGTCATTAACCGGGGTTTTAGAGATGGCTTACCCTCGGGCAATGTAATCCATAAACTCATTTTCGTCAATGTCACCCGTGGCATAAAGCTCTCGCCCATGCCACAATACAGTGCCTGCTCCGGTCAAAGCTTCCTTGGAGTAACCATTGAGCATAGGTCCCACGTTCATGCAGATAGCAGGGATATTCTAAAAACATCAGCATAGATCTAGGAATCCCTCGGGTCTGATACCCACCATTGTAGCCGCAGCCATCAAACAAGCCGGGGTTGTCTTGTCACAACCAGTAAGCAACACGACACCATCAAGGAAATACCCCGTCAAGATCTCCACCAAGCCAAGATACGCCAGATTACGATCAAGGGTAGCAGTGGGCCGTCTCGAGGTCTCTTGGATAGGATGTGTGGGGAACTCAAATGGAATACCTCCAGCAGTCCGAATACCATCACGAACACGCTTGGATAGCTCGATATGATGGCGATTGCAAGGCGCAATATCCGAGCCCGTCTGAGCAATTCCAATCATCGGCTTACCAGACATGAGCTCTTCTTTGGTGATACCGTAGTTGAAGTACCGCTCCATGTAGACAGCTGTCATGCCGGGGTTGGTGCGGCAGTCGAACCATGCGGACGAACGAAGTGTTCGTCCAGGTTGTTTGACGGGGACTTGAGCATTGTCTGCCTCGCTTTTGACTCCCATGCGCGTTTCTAGTTCCTGATTGCGTCGTCGCAGGGCCTGCAACTCACTCAGACAGTCCTCGATGTTGATTGCTTGAGGTTGGGCGTCATTGCTGCATGAACAGCCTTCACAGGACTTCTTGTCAGAACAAGCCATGATGTTATAGATGCACTATCGATTGAGGTAGTGTTATAAAACATTTCGATGTGAGGGGAGACAATGGATTATATATGGCAGGCTTCCCATTTGTGCTTCCTTGAAAAATGCGGAGTACAGTCGGGAGACACTTTCCGAGACATTTGACGTCGAATCATTGGAATCGTACTCGGGACAATTTGTTGAAATGCCCCGCGTGATCACGGAGATGAGCCGAGATTTTGCCTCTCGGGATGTGACTACCCGGATATTGGTCTCTTAGATATATGAGGTTAATTTTCCATTGATGTAATTTCCAATAACTTTCTGCATCAATTTATCGACAATGCAAGGTCTCAACCATGTAAAGACAGTGCTCGACAATGGCGGCCTCGCTCTGGGGGTGTGGCAGCTATTGCCCGGCAGCAATATGTCACGCACTCTAGCACGAGCTGGATACGATTGGGTTTTGGTGGACTGTGAACATGGAAATATCGATGGCTAGTGTTTTTGTCCTTATTTGAGATCTCATGCTAACATTCCCACAGATGCCGCAATGCACGAAGCTGTCCCCGCCATAGTATCATATGGAGTGAGCCCGATTGTTCGCGTTCCGGATTTCCAATCTTGGATGATTAAACGTATGTTAAACAGAGTATATCGCTAGCCCACTTGACAATTTCTTATCCTTTGTATAGGGGCTTTGGATGCAGGCGCACACGGAGTCCTCGCTCCTCTTGTACGAACAGTGGAAGACACAAAGGCCTTCGTCGAGGCCTGCCGATTCCCACCACAAGGGAAACGAGGCTTCGGGTCGCCTTTCCCGATGGACAGGTTTGGTAAGAATGTATCAGCCACCCAGTACCTGACTGAGGCCAATGCCAATCTTCTGCTCTCGGTCCAGATTGAGACGAGAGAGGCTTTTGACAATGTCGATTCTATCGCCGCCGTTGAAGGACTTGATTTATTGTTTGTCGGACCTTTTGACCTGGCAAATGGTATCGGCCACCCCGTACTGGGTAGTACCTTCGCGCCTGAGTTGGAACAAGCCATTGAGAAGGTTCTGTCTTCGGCGCACAAGGCAGGCAAGAAGGCTGGAATCTACTGTGGAAATGGAAAGCAGGCAAAGAAATATGCCGACTTGGGGTATGACCTTGTCAATGTTGTAACTGACGTTGGTGCTCTGACTAGCTCGCTCGCAAGTGAGATGGAGATTGTCACTCAAAAAGCAGGCAGGACTGCCTCTGGGCCTTACGGTAGCTAGTGCATCATATATACTATTGAAACAAGTTTTGTTTGTCTCGCTATTCTTGATCGCGTAAGTCATGAGGGCCACCCATAGATGCGCTGTCGCGAGGGTACAGTCATTCATACCAGAGCATTCCAAAACGAATTCGACTCTACATCAACCTGAAAGCCTTGGGCAATTGCCTCAAGGTCCAGATCCGATAATTCCATCTGAAAAGATCCAAATTCAAGTGGACGATCTGCGACCCCAGATTCTCTGGCAATATTAATAGACTCGGGCATGACCATGTGCTCGCTGGAAAAGTTGTTCCCAGAGCTCCCGGCGCTTCCAGTGCGTTGATTGTCATCTGCAACATTGATCCCTAAGTGAGAAATCAACTTGTCCAAATTCTCCCTAGCCTTTTCTGCTGCAGAATAAAGGCGTGTGTGTTCAGTAAGAATACTTCGGCAAAAAACCAGTGATTGGAACACGGTTGAGTTACTCCCTTTCTGGGCCACAATTCGTGCGTGGATCGTTGCACTGATATAGGTAGCGTATGAGAGCATGTATGGTGCACTGCTCAAAGAGAAATGCTGCGAGTAGTCATGGAGAATCTGAACAATTTGGTTCGCAGCTGCGGTACATGCGTTCACCGATTCGTGGGCAGTTGTTGAATTGATGACCCCGTCGTGGCCAGTTATTAAAGGACGATGAACCAAAATAATAAGCACATTGAATAGAGCTCTTGGCAATAATTAGTAGCTATCAATTAGTCTTGGTTGGTGAAAGGAACGTACAAAAGACAGGCAGACTGAGGAAGGAGAACCGCCTGGTCTGGAAATGACAGATAGTCAAGCCGACGAGGCAAATTTTGGCGCCAGTTTCTCAGCTGTGACTTGATTTCCCTTGAAATATTTGCTCGGTGAGCCAGATTTGACTCTCGAGATTCTGAATAAATCTCTCGGAGAATACGTTCCACAATCGTTGTCAACTCGCATAGATTAGTGAGTAAAGAAACATTCAGCGACGGAACCACTACTCGAGGCTTTGTGGTCATGTATGTGATACCCTGAAAGGGTTCAAGCTCGTCAAAGTCATCCAGAAAGTCCAGTGACGCGCTCACGTTGACACGGTTGAGAAGGGGAGGTCTCCCTTGGAAAAGACACTGGATCTTATCAATAACTATCAGAAGTTAGAGATGACTCGTAAGACAATACCCGGTGCAGAAAAGTGATAGCTCACAGTATGCTCCCCAGAGAACTCGCTTTCGGATTTCAAGTTCTTCGGCAGGGATGCTATCCACCGCAGGAAGCACATGCAGACCAAGATCAATGAACATATTGAAGGCATTTCCAGCGTAGAGCCATGACAGACTCCTTTCATCGCATCTGGAAAAAAGCGCATTAGACATAATCAATAATGCCTGAAGGGTAGTGATTTCGCTTTTATCGAAGCAATCTCGCAAAAGCTGCGTGAACCGTTGCCGGAACTTCCATCCTGCAGTCGTAATGTCATTTGGATCGGAACGAAGCTCTGGTCGGTCGCAGTGCTTCGACACTACAAAAAATACCGCATTCAACAGCAATTTAGAGAAGTACGGCCCCTCGCAGGCCATATCTCGCATGAAAGCCGGTCGGTAAATTATCTGTGCTGTGTAAAGCTGACGACTCCAATATATGGAGAGTAGATGCATGCCAATCTCAGGATCGATACCATCAAAGTCGAGTTTACCGGCAGCTAGATTGAGTGGCTCAAGCTGTCCTGTTATTTCCAAATTAGTATCATAACCATATCTGGTGTTGCATAGGATCCGACTTGCTCTGCCTCGCTGTCTGGGAAAAGAGAAAATGCCTTGTTCCCTCTTCGTTGGATGGACCTGGTCTATTCTGCTCATTATAGTTCGGACTGGTATCATCATAAACTGTACTTGTTGGCCCATGATACAATGATGTGTTTCTGCGGTCGTTCTCCGGTATTTCTGGGTGTGATGCATCTCTAGTTGAAACGGAGGGAGAGTCATTTCGCGAGAGACCAATACCTGTTACCCTCGAGAACGGCAATGGAGTATGTGGAGTGCTTTCCGATGTAACAGAATGTTCCGGGTCCGATAGAACCCTTTCGGCAGAAGTGCTGGCTTGGAATTGGGCACATTTCTGTCGAAGGATTTCATTCTCCTCCTCTAATTCCACAATGCGATGGATGGTCGGCCCAAAAGCGAAGTATCAGCAACTTGAAATTTGGTCGTAGTGATCTCATTTGTACCTCGGGTTATTCTGGGCCACGCATAGCCGACAATCGAGGCTCTTGGCTAGACAATTCCCACACTGGGGCCGCTGGCCATCACACTTCAACTACTTGTTTGATCCAATAATAAGTTCAAATTCCGTGTAGAGGCCAAGAATACTCACCTTTTTATGGCGACAACGCACACACGCTACGGCTACTCTCTTTCGAATTTGCATTGTGCTTCATGAGGTCGGAAAACTATCCGAGATTTGCTTCACCTGGGCATGTCCATTGGATGACGTCAGCCGTAGCATTACTTACATAAATAGTAGCCTTGTTTATCAGGCGCCATGTATCTCCGCGTTCTTCTTGGCGGGCGGTATTAGCTATAGAATAAATAATACAGGTAAGTAACGCTTTCAAGCTTAATGCTTAAATTATTAACGATCAAAAAGCCGCTATAAAGGCTACACGCGCTAACCGAAAAAAAAAGCTTTGCAAGCGCCGCGCTCAATGCAAACCATAAAAACTCCAATGAATGCACCAGCTCCATGAACTTCAAACAAACAGCCGAAGGCAAGGACCGAATATCAAGACCGGAGTAGACCTCAGGCAACAGCGTCGACCCCCTGCCAACGAAAGACAACTCTACCAACCAGGAATATCAGACTTGCATCTAATAGCCTCACCAAAGAGCCTTCAATTTCCACTACCAGACATAGCCGCATCCTCAGCGACACCTCCGGATCCATCAACCGCCCCACCCGTCGCAGCGACCACGCGATCAACCTCGCTGCGACATTCGGGCATAGCGCTGCGCATCTCGCGGGCCAGCACGTCGCGGAAGCTCGCAAAGGCCTCGCGCTTCCCGCGCAGGTCCTGATTACCACGTTGCACAAGCTCGACGAACTCTCGCGTGTAGATATCCGGATTGCGCGCCGAGTCGACGTAATCGATTATCTCTGGTGGGAGCTGGATGCTGGCGAGGGAGGGGTTAGAAGGATCGGTGTTGGTGTCTAGTTGGGTTTCTTGTGTTGGCGAAAGTTGTGTGTGTGTTGACAGGGTCGAAAGGGCGAGTGTTAGATTTTTGCTGGAGTGTATTAGTTTTGGTTGGTTAGGGTTGGGGTTTAGTGATGTTGCTTGTCGGGAAGTGTTTCGTTCTGACGGAACACATTTATAGGCACAAGAAATGGAGAGTGCATAGGATGCTATTGCAGCTGACGTACATCTTTCGCACAAGCTCTTGCTGTGTCTCTGGGCCCAGATAGCCGTGGACGGCGGATTGGATCTCGAATAAGTGCTGGATCACATCTTTGAGGTCGTCTGTGTGAGGAATTAGCATGTGCACTCTCAGAGCTACCTAGTGCTCGTAACTCACCATCGACCGTTTTCAAAGTCACTGGCGCCATAATCTAATAGATTGAAAGAGGTCTCGGCTCCCAAACTCAAGATGAGGTTTCTCTTGCTATTGCGGGGAGAAACAAAGGCGGTGTGGGGGATACTTGATCCCAGCTACGATTACAGAAAACAAAGGTAACTACTAGTGTTTTCGGAGACAAATTTTTAAAGAGAACTTATGTAATTTCCAATATGTCACTATCTATATATGCATAGCTCGTGGGAACCGATCTCATTCCCCGAGTTGCGTCCGCACGGCGAACACACGCTGAAACCGCATCAAGTGAAACAAACAAGAATTGTAGCCTATGCTCTACACTTCCCGTGTCCTCAAGCTAGAAAGATTCGGAATTTTGATCTCTGTCTCCATTTCAAGCCCGGACAAGCTTGGGAACCGTTGGCTGAATTTGGCCTCCCAGTCCTCTCCTGTAGGGCTTGCCGGAGTCTCTTGGGAGGAACTATGGCCAGTACCCGGTCGCGAGGTGGCTGCGCCAGCGCGCAAATTCTTGGGCTTAGGTGGTGCAGCTGGTCGATTTACGGGACGTTGCGCGGATGGGTGACTGGTAGGGGCGACAGATTGCGGAAGACTTGCGGAGATATTAGGTCCATCTCGGCGATCTGGGAGTGCCGTCGAACTCTCACGAGGAGTGTAGGTCGAACTTGATGTGTGAGAAGCGAGCAGCTGGCTAGAGATGGCGGATCTGGCCTCACTCTGCTTTGCCGGCAAAGAAGAGGAAGTCTCCGTGAACCGTCCATATCCAGTAGCAGTCTTTGGAATGGTCGGTTTTTCAGACTCTCCGAGCAACGACTGTACCTTGCTCTGAATTGCGCGGGAGCGTGCACCATCGCCTATCACTCTGCCACCCCCGTCACCCGTTTCGGCAACCCGACGCCGGTACTCAGCTGCGGCATTGGCAACGCGTTTCTCCTCTTGAGAGAGTCGGCGGCGTTCCAGCTCCCGGCGCATCTCCGGCGATATGTCGTCCCTGTCCGCGTCTTCCAAGGCAAACTCGTCATTCGGCGAAAGACCATCGTCGGCTGAATCCCAAGTCCCAATCAGACCCTGCCGAGGCGCATCCTCTGGCGATGATGATGCGGATTTGTCTTGGTTGCCCGCTTCGAATCGGCGGAATGCGTCGCCGAATCGACCGGCAAATAAGTTTTTCCCTCCAGAAAGCGACAACGTAGACAGACTACCGCGTTTGTTGTGTTTGTGGCTATTACTAGAGCGTTTCTCACGCTTCCGATTGCTCTCTTCTTCTTCCATCGCGCGTAGGTAATCGATGTCAGAGGAAATAATCCGATCAGACTCACGATCCACATCGGTACGCACTGACCGTAGTGGCGCGCCGCCATCGTATTGTAGGCGGGACATATCCAGCGAAGCCCGAGGGCTATCAGAGTCACGCGGCTGGTCATACCTGGCTCCCGGCTGGACGGACATTGGCCGAGCCTTTCCGATAGCCGATTTAGAACGTCCCACAGGATCATTTACCTCTAATGCCGAAGGCCGTCTCAAGGTTTCCATCGAGGGGCGGGCGGAGTTAGACTGGCTGGGTATGCGGTCAGATGGCAGCCGCGAGCTTCCTTCCACATTCAAGCTCGGCATCGGGGGGGATGGCGCTTTGTGCGGGCGTGTCACTCTTTGTTCCTGCTCGGTTGTAAATGGCTCGCTGGAAGATCGGGGTTCATTATCAGACGAAGGGAATCGATAAATTGGGCGACTCAGCGGATTTGGCTCCGGCAAACGAGGTGTTTGGATGGGTGAGGTCATGGTACCCGTCGACACCATCATGGGCCGCTGAGGGGTTGGCTGGTACAAGGGAATAGCCTGCGGCGCAGGCATTTCACGCAAATCCAGTGCTCGGACAGGAGATGTCTGGGATAGTCGCTTATTGACTGGCTTCGGAGCACGTTCGGGCGAGACACGTCGGGCAAAAGCATCATCGGCTAGGGCGTTGGTAAGTCTTCGAGATAGATCCTCGTCCTCGGGCTTGGATTCTACTGTTGGCTCGAATTCAAACTTGTCCCCTTTTTCATGCAAAAGGTCAAACTGGTCCAAGGAGGGGAATCGTTTAGACATTTCCTCTGCCGTCTTCTTTCGGGATGCGCTCCCATCCAGGGCTGCAAATGGATCATTTGATGAACCTTCAGCAGCGGCTAGATAGGGCGCAGGACTCGGTCTCTCGGAGCCGAGTTGAGACGACGGGGATTTTCCAGGTCGACCACGCCGCATAGGTGCAATGTCTGGGATTATCTCGGTCTCCTGCATCGGAGGCGAAAATACTGCGCCCACCGCGGGTGGTTCCGTGGGCGTGGGCGGTAGCTCTTGATATTTTCGTGCCTCCGAAACAGAGCGCTTGGAATAGATCTTCATGACAGTCAGTGTCAAGTTTTCACTAAAAAAAGGCATGGGCCGACATACGTCTTTGATAGGAACTTCCTTCCCTTGCATTTTGCACACCTCGCGCACGACCTCGTATATGTTGGGACGATTGCGAGGATCTTCCTTCAACATCGAGCCTGTGCGCAGCTGTCAGCCATCGATGATCGATTATAAATTAAACCGAGGTTCCAAACTTACCAATGAATAGCTTTAGCCGACTCGAAAATGGAGGATAGGAAGGGTATTTGAAGGTCGCGTTGAGAATAGCCATCTGACCGACCTCTTCAAAGGGGGTTGTGTAGTAGCATAATTTGTACAAAAACACACCAAGTGCCCAGATATCACTCTTCTCGTCAATCGGTTGCTTTCGATAGACGTCAATCATTTCTGGGCTTCGGTACTGCAGGGTTGTATGCCGCTGCACATCATCTTCGATCAAGCGACCCTCAGCGGCGGAAGTAGCAGCAGGACGAGGGGGTGCTGATGATCCAAAATCACACAGTTTGTAAGTGGGGGAACTCCCCTTACCCGAGATCAGAACGTTCTCAACTTTCAGGTCACGATGGAGGAGGGGCGGTTTAAGATAATGCATACACGCAACACCTTCAGCAACATCGGAGAATATCTTCACGATCTCCGGCTCTGTCAACCGGTGTTGGAGCCGGGTGTTCATGAAGTCGATAAGACCACCGCCCGCGCAGTACTCCATGATCAGAAACACCTCATATCCACCTCCGCGCAGCTGCGAGGCATGCGAATCAATATACTTCACAATGTGCCGATGACCCTTGAGCTTCTTCATGGTTTCCACTTCAGTGCGCATGTTGGCAAGTGCCGCCTTGTCAGGCACGGCCACTCGCTTCAGCACTGCGGTTTCGGACCCATTGACTGGCTGAGGCAATCGCACCACGTAGACATGAGCAAAACCACCCTCAGAGAGATACTTCTCCACTACCACGCGATGGTTGCCAACTTGAATCTTAGTGCCCGGAAGCAAGGTCCCCGCAGGTGCTGCCGCTACGGCGACGGGATTGTAGACGGGGAATTGACGTGACGTCGCGGGATGACCGTGGGTAGGTTGTGAGGACATGGTGCCGGGGTGCCCTTCAAGGGCAGGTCGTAAAGCGGTTCTCGGTGGCTAGCGACGCGGCATAGAGAGTGAGACGGAGATTGAGGGGGATTCGAGGTTGGCGGAGATAGGTGCCTGCGAGAGGACTAAAAGGACAGGTTGGCGAAGAGGCGGAGAGGCGGAGACACGGGGTAGTACCTGACTACCAGACTATTACAGGGGGATGGCAAGAATATTTGAAGCTGAGATGAGATAAAAAGAAAACGATCAACACTCAGATGGAGAGAGAGGAGGTATTGGAATCTCAAGTGGAAGGCCACCCAATCACCGGCTGCGGATCACGTTATGCCGAGTCTTGTCCCTCACCATCGGGGTTGTTTTCCACCTTCACTTCTCCTAAATGATGACTTTCACTGCGTTTTCCCACTGGCAGACTAATAGTTATCCAGTGTTTAACATGACCTAAGTGGGCCAGGATGAATCTTAAGTGCCTCTCATAAGACCCTATGTCCTCTTCTCCCTGGTCATGGTCCTACACCTCATGTCCCGATCATGGGACGTCTACTCCGTATATTGATACGGCGCTCTCGCAACCGTGGATGGTGACCGTGAGATCTACAACATAGCTGCTTTCCTCCTTTTTTTTTTTTTTTTTTTTATGAATCAGGAGCCCCAACATGGGAGTCACATTGTACCGCACTCTCCACCCTACTATCAGCTCTAATCCAGTGAACAAGCCTCGGTGGCTACATCCTCCAAGTCGAATATCTTGGACCCACTACGCTCAAATTATCTCCCCCAACCGCTTGACCGCAAGATTAACAAGTGTTTTCAGCGCTCCGCCCCAAGCGCTATATGCTCGGCGAAGACACTTGAGAGACATACTTGGACCGAATATTCTTCGCGCTGGTCCGCGGCTCGAGGTACACAGGGGTATAAAAGTACGCATTAACTGCAAACGCTCGTGAAAACAACCTACATGACGCTCGCATGCTTGGACTTTGAACAAAACAATGTCAACATCCGGAGCACCCCGGGCTTCTAATAACGTGCTGGGAAGAGGCTCAAGCGGCCAATACGAATACCTCTTGACCACAGAGTAGGGCGCTAACTGCGAAATTGACGTAGAATGTATGATATAGCAGCATGCGAGATACTATACATCTTTGGACCTGGGTTATAGGCCTCTTAACTGGGTTTTTCGCTTCTATTCCCCACCTAATAATAACCCTTCCTCCATATCTCAACAGTGCAAGAAAGCGGAGAGCAAGGCGGTCGGAATCATGGAGGAACGATATTCCGAGCGGTAAACCAAGCCCTTTCCCAAAAGAGTAAGATGAAAACAAAACAGTCGTACTTTTGCGATGTTGACAGGACTCTGAGCATTGATGCCTGTGCAGGTCGAAAGGCTTTTTCAAAAGCCCCTTAATTGAGAATAAGCACTATGTAGTCATAGCTTTGAACAATTTCATTGCTATAACTAGTCAAAAAGCTCACTGTAATTGATCCTGTAATTCCATCCCTTAGCTCGGTATAGCCCTACGTAGAATCCCGTG